GGGGGGGGAGAGGGCGGGGGCACCGCGGGCTGAGGCGGAGAAATTCTGCGGAGCCCTCCGAGCCCGCCCGGCCTGCGCTGAGGGGCTTGGCCTGGGAGCCGCACTGGGAGGGCATGGGATTTACGAGGGAAGGGTTCCCACCTCTTTAATAATTTTTCCTCCTCGGTGTATGGTGCTGTTATTGACCATATCCACGATGGCCACTCCCAAGTTACATCGGATCCCGAAGGAAATGCAGAATCCCAGTCCACTCATGATGGCAATGATGTACCTCCGGGGAAGCCCGAAGCAGGTACAGTCGCAGAGCGGGGCTTTCTTCTCGGGCATTTCCATGGGCTTTCCATCCTCCGTCAGCTCGATGGTGTCCCCGGGCTTCTGCCTCTTCTCTAGGACTCTGCCCGACACAAGAAGGGAAAGTCAAGCCCCGGCCGGCTGAGCGCACAGCCACCCCGGGTACCTCAAGCCTTAAATTCAGCGCTCCCCCCGCCCCTTTGGCTTGGCTTGACTTGATTCGAGGATTTATCCCTTGCTTTCCATTCACCTTCAACTGTTCTTTAGCAGTGACCTGTGGGAGTCACGATTAGTCATCCCCGACTCCCCCCGCCACCCCGCCACAGAAGCCCAGGGAGGAGCTCTGGCTGCGAGTTCCTCATCTATCATTAAAGACTTCTGCTTAAATATGTAGGACGCATTAAGAAGACATCATCTGTAACCACTGCAGAGGCGCCATGTTGGGCAGCCCAAGAGGCACAGCGTGGACACCGAAACAGTCTTTTGGAGAAGGTTTTACTCCCTCCTCGCTGTGTTAGAAACACCGGGGGGGATGATCGTGGTGTGTGTATCTCGCTTCAGGTCTGCGAACAAAAGAAATATTAACAGGAGGGGAGGGGGAGCGATATTGCTACTTATTTTAGAGTTGCAAAATGGCTGTCACATGCAGTGGAGGAAAACATGACCGTGTTTAGAGAGCTGGCATCTCTGGAGAAGGCTTTCCAAAAGATCGCATCTGCTCAGCTACGCGTGTGAGAGTGTGATCGCTTCGCAGGTTTAACCTTCCCACACCAGCTTTAAGCTAGATCCCCTTGCCCCCACTCCCTTGTTTTCACATGAGAATCTTATCTCCTGGAAAACAATGTGCAGGAATCTGAAGAGGAAAGGTTATTTGCAGCTATTTCCAATCAACAGAAAAATACGGGGAGGAGGGAAAAAAAAATACCCCCCACAAACAAAAAAGCAACCCAAACCTGCCATCCACGAAAGGTGACTTAGAACATTTCATTTTATTTCTTCTTTGGTGGAAAAGCTTTAAATGCCGTGTCGGTTTACCGAGCAAGTGCTCCATGCCGAATCTCTTAAGCTTGCTTTGTAGTCACTGAGGTATTTAAAAGACAGAAAACATAACCGCTTCTGTCCTAGCTCCATCCTCTTGAGGAGCGAATATGTGACCATTTCCCGGGACCCGGGACTCTCCTACCGCTGCCCTCACCTTGCTCTACGAGTGTTTTCTCGAGTTAGAAACCCTCCTCGCAGGAGCATCTCTTTGAGGTTAACTCATCCGGCTAATGGGGCAGTAACAATTAGCAGAATAAGGCTCAAAATGTCCTCCGTGTATTGGAGAAAATACAAAGATTTTCCACTCGGTGGAAATCCTCCCGATTTTTTCTTTGCTGGAAGAATTATTTCCATGCTTAAGACCGCAGCACTAAGAAATGTCTTCAAGTTGTGAATAAAATAAACCACCGTGGGTTTATGTTCAAAATTCGTTCGTGCAAATAAAGGACGGTATGGAAGTGTTTTCTCCCTGAATGGGCTTCTTGTCTTCGGGAAGACACTAGAAATCGATGTGTAAGGGACAGGAAAGCTATTTTAATTCTACGAATCGCAAACAAAATACTTCAGTCCCGTGAGTGAAAAAGATTAGTAAATCGCGCATTTGTTCATCAAAGGGGGAGTTCAAACGGGGTCTTGATGGAAAATACAAACACCGTTTCTCCTTATTCACCGTGTGACTATATAAAAAGCAGTAGACATGATCTTTTATTTATTTGTTGTTGAGTATTTTAGGGTGAAAAAGAGGTTTAGTTCTTTAATTATATTTTAAGCAGTTATTCTGGATTATCAGTTTCTTTTCCTGGCCATTGAAAATGACTTAAATATGACCAAAACTTGTAGGATATTCACTGCGTTGTTGATGGCTGTGGTTTTGCTGCTTTTTTTTTTTTTTTTTTTTTTTTAAAATGGAAGTATTAATTTTGTCTTTATCACTTCACTGATATGTCCCCTTTCCTGAAAATGGCAGCAGAAGTTGTGACTCATGCTGTGGAACAGCCTTGTGCCTGTGCCCAACACTGCCGCATAGGTATAGAAAAAAAGAATTTTACGTGACCTATCCTCAGCAGATAAATCCGCAGTTACCTTTAATCCGTAATTCGGAAAAAAAACAAACAAAACAAAACAAAAAAAAAACCAAACCAACCAAAAACCACAAACAAACAAACTCAACCCCAACAAAAAACCCAACCTTCGGGGTAATTTCTAGCATTGGGGCAATCGAAAATACATTGGAATTTTACAGACTGTTCTCAGACGTCCTGGAGGTCACTAAAGTCGCCAGACTGGATGGAGCAGGATGTGTTAACTTGGGTGCAGACACTTTTTAGGTACGCTAGAATTTGGGCTTGTTTATCTGTGTGTACCTGTCTCGAAGAGGGTAGAAATGTTCTGTACACACAGAAACATACTGTTGAGTGATGCTTTTGAGTTTAGCAATTGCAGTTGTGTATTACTTATAAGACAAGTGGATGCTTCTCAAGGAAGACGGATAAATAATTAAACACATCCCTCTATATGTTTCAGCTTCAGGAGAAAAAAAAATCGTTCGGATATCAATTATTTATACATCTCCATGTTTATCTTCCTCTGACGACGGATTACACAAGGGACAAGACTAATCGAAACTAGGAAAGATTATTATTATTATTTTTTAATGATTGGTAAAGGCAGGGGGAAAGATCCTGTGACTGCATTGTAAAATTAACACAGAACAAAAATACAGGGAGCTGCTTTCTCCTGGTTAGGATTTCAAGATGGGATCCTGTTTTCGTGGGGGAAAGACGGGGTAATATTTCGCTACATATTTACTGACACCATCTACGAATCAGATAGAGAAGTTACAAGGGTGCCATATTGAGAAGCTTCAGCACTAGTTTCCAGGATCCCGATTATATCAACAGTACCTCAACAGCCCCCAGCCCCTCCACCGCTCACCTCCCCAAAGCGTTCGACCTCCTTCAGCGGCTGGCAGTTAAGAAAAGCTTCCGATTATTTCTAGGAAGTAGATTCCTGTAAGAGATCTCAGTCTTACCTGTAGAGTTGACCAAGCGATTTTCCAGCAAAATTCTTCAATCCCTCCTTGCCAGGGGTCAAAATCCTTTGTTTTACC